GCAATAGACAACATAGACTATGCGGCAACGACCCCTTCCAGGAAAGGTCCGTCAACTTCGGGAATGTGGCGGCGCTGAGGGTATAGACTATCCGCTCGCCGCGCTCGTTTTTCTGTTCCATGAAGCATTCAAAGTGAAGCTCCAAAACATCAGGCCAGCTGGACTGCGTGAGCGCTCTGTACCATGGTAACCCTCCGCTTGGCACCCTCAAGATCTCAGACGCGCGAACCTGTTCGGGCATAATGGCGTTGCCTTCGTGAATCTTGTTGAGCGTGGTTTCGAGCCGGCGATCGCAAGCGTTGTCGCGGATTGTCTCGACTGGGAAGCCAGGCTTGAGTTTGCCATGTGTAGAACGCCACACAGCTGGCGTCCTCTTGATAATGTCATGCCAATCGTGACAAACGGGAGATACCGCTAGGATGGCTTCACAGGGACCCACGATGGCGCTGAGCCATTCGAATATCTCCAAGATGACCTCGGGCTTAAGATCCATAACGGTAGGGTATCTCTTCGGTCGCGATCTTTGAGTTCAGATCAGTTACGGATGAAGAATACAAATCAGAGAGGGCTTACGATGTATCCATGTCTGGATGCGTGTGAGGTAGGGCTCGACGGGTGCACAACGTAGCTGTGAGAGGTGCGTATGGCGAGGTCAGAACAGTATTCAAGTGACTCTTCCAACGCTGCTGGACTCGACTCACTTAGAGTTTGTAGGTGCGATGAGCGTCCAAGACAAGTTCCTGCGATGGTGGAGGTCGAGGTTTTAACGGCGTGGTGGTTGATACGCCTGCGCGCAAACCACTCTGCAGTGTCATAACTTGCCCGAAGGCCGTGATGGCGGATCAATCGTAAATATGAACCACGCCTGTTTCCATTCGCTAGTCTGCACGGGGTCTCACAATAGTAATAAATTTTATTGTGTGAGCGAAAATGACAGAAGCAGAGATCGAGCGCTCGTGAACAGGGCGCAGAGCGGAGCAGAACACGACATACAACAACTTTCGGGCGCGGTGGTACGCGGCCACTGAGCATTGTGACCGTACGCCGATGCCGTCGAACGAACGCGGGCTTCTCCCATGAGTTCGACTACTTCCAATCCTCTCCTCGTCTTGGATCTTGGCCTAGGCATGCGCAAGGACCGGCCAGTTAGCCAGCTTCACTTGAATCGCGATGTGTTGACGAAGATCTGCATGCCGCCAGCGTGAGAGAGACCTAGATAGCAGGTACCATCAATATGAAAGTAGTAGAGCGCGGCAGTAATGTAGCGCGCCTAGGCACATCCCATGATGCGCGCCTCTTCCTGGTTCATGGTCGCGACATTGTCGATCGCGTCGTAAGACTCAATCTTGGGCACGAGTTTCACGAGGGTGGGCACAGCGCCGCACCTCCATGCTTCCTTCCCATGTTGATTATCCTGGATCTTTGCTTTGACATTGTCGATCGTGTCCGAGGACTCGAACTTCGGCGCAGG